CATTAAATTAAGAAAAAAAGGAGTCAAGAAATAATAAGAACAGCAGACAAACATCTAGTAATTGAGATGGAATTATTTTCCCTGAGCATTTAAACTGCAGGCTAATCAGGGTATAGCAGAGTTCCCCCAGCTATCTTGCAAGTTTAAGGCCAGCCTGGGTTACAAGAGACTCTGTTTCAAAAAAATAATAATAATTAATGTAAAGGTGAATAAGCCAAGTGTATTGGTGCATGTCTGTAGTCCTGACATTTGGGAGGCTGAGGCATGAGGATTGTGACTTTGAGGTCAGTCAACTTGGGCTGCATCAAGGCCATCTTACTGGACGGATGGATGGATGGATGGATGGATGGATGGATGGATGGATGGATGGACAGACGGACAGATATGGTTACTGATTGATTGATAATAGATATGGTAGAACTTGTGGGTCCCACTAATGACCATAGGATTTAATGTACTGAGAGTGTGTATTTATTTTAGAAGTCAGTGTTTGCTGGACATAGTATTATGTGCCTGTAGACTCGACTAGTCAAGAGCCTGAGGCAAGAGTATGGCTTAAGCCCAACAGTTCAAGGTCAGTTTGGCAGTATGGTGAAACCTGGTCTTGAGACAAAGCGGGCTAGGAAACAGCGTGATGGTAGAGCGCTTGCCGGAGGTCATGAGACCCTGGGTTTGACCTCAGCACCACAAAGACCAAACGCAACAAGAAGTGCTTAGGTTCTTTGCTGAGGTTACTAAGTTCTTGCTCGGAGGAAATAATTCCAACTCCCGTCCCGGCCTTCCTTAGCATCCAAAGGCAGCAATGGGGGCCGTTATCTAATGTCCCATTTCTTTCTGCTTTTCTTTGGAGGGGACCTGGGGTGTGGCTTGACTGGCATGTACGCTGCTAAGGTTCAATATCCAGGTCTGGGCAAGGGCTATGGGGTGAGGAGAGAGAAGGAAAGGCTCAGATGGAAAACCGGACTCCTGCCTACCCAGCAGTTTTTAGACAGAACCGAGGGAAGCAGCCACAGGCCATGTGTGTATATGTGGTTCTTTTAGCCAAGGCTGAGCTCCCTTTCAGCCCGGGGATTACAGACAAGCCCACCACTCTGGCTCTTACACACATTTTCTTTGCTGTTGCTCTTTGTGTGGATGGTTAGTTTGGGGTTTTGTTTTTTTGAGACAGGGTCTCACTATATAGCCTTGGTTGGCTTGGAACTCACGGAGATCCACCTGTTTCTTCCTCCTGAGTGCTGGGATCAAAGGCATGCGCCAACCCTACCCCCCACTTCCCCACTCCCCCACCCCTGGCTTTTTGCTAGAATTTCTTACCCAGGTTGAAAAGGTGACAAGGTGACGAGGCAGGAGCTTCCTCTTGGCAGACAGGAACACATGGGCTTCCTGAAGCTGCTGAAACTGCTATAACCCTATCTGGACTCCAGCACAAGCGTGCACAGCGGAGGCCAGGGCAGTGGTGTTGAGTGTGTTACACATTAGCTTATTTAACCAGACACTGGCTGACCCCTGCCAAGAGGCCCCTTCTCTTCCTCAGGCTCTCACTATATGTGTGCCACGGCCAGCATTCCGATTTGTCTGTCTTTCCACATTTGAATTTTTGCTTTTGTTTGTTTCTCAAGACCGGGTTTCTCTGTGTATCCCTGGCTGTCCTGGAACTCACTCTGTAGACCAGGCTGGCCTCGAACTTATAGAGATCCGCCTGCCTCTGCCTCCATAGTGCTGGGATTAAAGGTGTGCACCACCACTGCAAGGCTCATAGTGGAAATTTTTTTTTTACTAGTTTGTGTGTATGTGTTTTGCCTGCATGTATGTCTGTGCACCACATGTATGCAGTGCCCAAGGAGGCCAGAAGATGGCATTGGATCCCCTGGAACTGGAGATGGTTGTGAGGTGCCATGTGTGTGCTGGAATTGAACCCCAGTTCTCTGGAAGGACAGCAAGTGCTCTTAACTACTGAGCCATCTCCAGGCCCCTAAGCCCCATTTTAAAAAATCTTCAGGAATCCAGCCTGAACGTCAATCAAGACATCAGCGTGGCGGTGTGAGATAAGCTTATGCCTTCTAGAACCCAGGCTCTTTTTGCTGCTCCTTGGTCTGGAGCTGAGTGGGTTAAAAACATGTCTGTTGACCTAGAAGCCCAGCGTGCGTGAGGCTGGTGGTGGGAGTGTGCGGTGCACTGTGCCCCGTGCTGATCCCAGCCTTGCTGGTGCCATGAGTTGGGATGTGCCTCACCTAAGCGGCCAGCATCCTGCAGCTGAATCTTGAGCATTTCCATGGGACAGGTAACCACCACCTGGCATATTCCAGCCCCACACCCGGCCAGCATCTCCATCTTCAGGTTCCGCTGCACCCTGTGGGACCAGAAGTAAGTCCTTAGTCTTAGGCCAGCCCTGCCTCACTGTGCCCATCCATCTTCTTTGATTGTTGGAACTGTTTTGTTGTTTTTAAGACAGAGTTTCTCTATGTTACCCTGGCTGTCCTGGAACTCACAGAGATCCTCCTAGGACGCTCTGTAGAACAGGCTGGCCTCGAACTCACAGAGATCCTCCTGCCTCTGCCTCCTGAGTGTTGGGATTAAAAGCGTGCACCACCGTGCCTGGCTCTCCTTTCTGTTTTTGGAAACTGTGTATAAAGCAAGCTGTCCTCAGTTTTGCTGCAGCTCCCCTGCGGCTGCCGCCTACCTCCTGAAAGTACAGACCATGCCACCGAGCATGCTTGAAGCTAGATTTCCCACAGAGGCTCCAGGGAGGCAGCCTGTAAATCAGGAACTACGAAACACCAGGGTCCAGTCAGGTTCTTGTTCCAGCCTCTCAAGTTCCGTCCCTAGGACAAGTAGGCACACAGAAGACGGGAGGGTTTGGGGGTCAATGTCTAAAAATCTGTCAGCTTGTTGGGTGTGGCCGCTCAAGGCTACGATTTTGAGCACTCAAGAGGTAGAGGCTGGAGGATCTCTGTAAGTTCCAGGCCACACAGAGCTAAATAGGGAGACTCTGTCTCAAAAATAAAAACAAAGAAAAAATGAAAAACAAAACAGAAAAAAAATGTATCAGCTAGTTGCTAAATACACCTGTGTATATTCTGTGTGTTCTGTGTTTTCTCTTGAATGTATGTCTGTGAATACACAGTGAAGGGCTCTATGGCGCCATCACCAGGCCTTACCCGTCTTGCATGAGCAGCTGCCGTAAGAAGTCATTGGCTGCCAGCTTGATTGCCTTCTCCGGAGTGACCAGGGTGAGGTTGACCGCAGCCCCTGGAGGTGAGACATGAGGAGAGGAGCAATGGCTGCTGCCGAGGTGACCAGTCCTGGAGTCTGCACTGGCAGGCAGAGTCGGGCGGAACAGGTCTGCAGAGGCCGCGCAAGGCAAAGCTTGGGGCGGAACAGGTCTGCAGAGGCCGCGCAAGGCAGAGCCGGGGCGGAACAGGTCTGCAGAGGCCGCTGGCAGGCAGAGCCGGGCGGAACAGGTCTGCAGAGGCCGCGCAAGGCAGAGCGGGGCGGAACAGGTCTGCAGAGGCCGCGCAAGGCAGAGCGGGGCGGAACAGGTCTGCAGAGGCCGCGCAAGGCAGCACAGTCCGTCTTACAGATTCCGCTTTCATTTCCTCTCCCCAACACGGTTTCCTTCATTTGTAATCTATTCAGTATTATCGTGTGTGGGCATGCACATGCCCCAGCACACACGTGGAGGTCAGAGGACAGCTCTGGAGTCAGTTCCCTCCCTCCACCTTTACATGGTTGCCAGGCCTGTGTGCACCACCTCAGCGGTTGGGATACCTGCCAGACCCCTCTTAATTTTGGAGTCAGGGGCCTTAGCACAGCCCAGGATGGCATGGAAGTCACAATCCTCCTGCTTCCTGAGCACAAGCATGACAGGTATGCCACCGTGAAGCATGCTGTCCTCCCGTGCAACAGGCAAGCTGCAGGCACGCTCCTCACTTGCATCCCCAGCTCCCTACACAGCCCTGGCTGGCCTTGAACTCACAGACACCCACCTGTCTCTGCCTCCTGAGTGCGGGGATTAAACGTGTGGACTACCACACCTGCCTGGTTTGGTTTGGTTTGTTGTTATTTATTTTCTTTTTTTAGATTTTGCTTTGTAAAAGATTGTTTTATGTCTATAAGTGCTTGCCTGCATGTATGTAAGTGCACCCACGCATGTCTGGTACCTGCAATTCTTTGGAATTAGAATCACAAGTGGCTGTGAACTGCCGTGCAGGTGCTGGGAATTGAACCCAGGACCTCTGGAAGGACACCCAGTGCTCTTAGCAGTTGAGCTATCTTTCCGACCCCCAAATTTTTTATTTTATATTTGCATGGTCTGTGTGTGTGTGTCTGTGTGTGAGAGTGTGTATGTGTGTGTGAGTGTGTGTGTGTGTGTGTGTGTGTGTGTACAGTGTCTATAGAGAGGACCAAAGACGGTCCTCCTGGAACTGAAATTACAGGTGGTGTCAACTACCAAATGTGGGTCCTGGGAACCAAACTCAGGTCCTCTAGGAGAGCAGTGCTTGCTCTTTCCCTTCCTTCCTTCCTTCCTTCCTTCCTTCCTTCCTTCCTTCCTTCCTTCCTTCCTTCCTTCCTTCCTTCCTTCCTTCCTTCCTTCCTTCCTT